CTCTCTCTCTCTCTCTCTCTGAAATCAGTAAAAATACCTTTAAAAAGAAAGAAATGTAGCATGGATGGCTTCCATACAACTCTGTTCTCCGGGATTTATTTCATAAAGCAATGCCCTGTCCCGCAAAGATAAAATACACAGGTAGACAGCATAGGAGCTTTTTCGCTTGCCCTACCAATCCAAGTTTAGACTGAAGAGGCAGAAAAGTCCCAACAGACATATAAACAATGTGCTCCAACCCTGGCATTCGATGAGTCAGTTTTGCCCTGGTATAAACTTTACTTCAAAGCCCCCTCCGGCTGGGATACAGGAGGAAATGGCTCAGCGACAAGCACCCAGCAGAAGTAAGCCAAGCTAGTTCTTTGTATTTGCATACAAAATAACGTAGGTGTTTAACAAAATAACACACGCACCTGGGTGGTCTGTGTTAATGATAAAAACAAGAGATGAAACAACAACCAAAACACAACAACAGTTTCTTTGCTAAAGTAACCCCCCACCCCTCCACCCCCGCTTTCAAGAAAGCCAATTGAATTCTAAGGATTAAAAAAAAAAATTTTTACTGGATGTCTCTCAGAGCACTCACTCAATTTTTTATATCAGGAACAAGTTTATTGTGCTAAGTTTTATGGGAGAAATGAGAGGAGTTTGGAAATCTCAGGTGGCCTCAAGATGAATCTCAAATGTGAGGGGATTGCTGTATGGGTGGGGGGACGAGGTGGGGGCACTAATTGTTAAATTGTGAGATTCAGATACTGTCAGGTGAAATGCAATAGCCTGCTAACACACTTACAACTAAAACCCTTAGTTTGCCCACCTTCCTGTGGCGATGTAATCTTTACAAAAGATGTTCATCTCCAAAGAGCCAAATGGCAATTTAGGAAGCGGCAGGTTTTCAAAGCAAGAGTCCAAACGAGGAAGAGAGGAAAGATTTACCAACACTTGTCCAGGGCGAACAGAGGAGGAAAACACAGAGAAGGTTCCAGAACCAGACCCAATAATATGCTGGTTCTTTAAAAAGATAATTAAATGCATACAGTTCATAGATAAATTGCTATGTTATCAGCTGTATTTTAACTCACGGAGTAGCGACATCTATTCTAGGGGCAAAACATCTTCAGCAGAATAGTTTTGATCCTGGAACAGGACTGCAACGCTACTTAATTCTATCCTGCGTTTAGGAACGTAAGGAAATACGAAAAGGAATTTAGCGAACGTGAAAATGTGAAAACAAACCTCAATAAACATTTTAAAAAACCTTCGTTCTTGTTGCTGCACGTGCACTTTTTAAGAGGTTGGAAACGCCAGTGAATGATCACGTTCTACAGAATTCGTCACTGAGGCTACCAAGTGCGTTATAATTTACTTGACCAAAAGGTTTTAAAAATCACGTACAGAACCTTTGATGAGCAAGTCTGAAAACCCAGATCCACCTACATTTTCCATAAAAAATCCAAAGAATTCCGCCTACATACCACAATGATGAGAACCTACAAAACCTACCAGAATGAATTTTACCTTTTGTAAACTTCACTCAGAAACTTAATATATGCCCAGCTAAACATTCTACCTACACTCAGAAGGGCCACATCTCTTTTGAAGATATTTTACTGAAAAAAATTGCTGACCTATGGCCAACTACATGGAATTTCACTCCTGTCACGCTCAAAAAAAGAAAAAAAAATATGGGATTTTTCCAATGACATAGGAAAAATCGTGTCGCCCGGTACAACAGAAAAACATTGACTCTTGCCTTCATGCTTAAATTCATTACTCGTGCCTGTATGTCGTCATTTGGTTAACTGAGATTTATTTTTAACCAGAAATCTTTCCAAACAAGGCAGACCACGATTATCACCGGAGTATTTTCACATTTCTCGGGGCCGAATAAAAATTCCCTGAGTGGGGACGGAATTAAAATTTCCTTGAGATGTTTTGCAAGCTTTTGCCAAGTGATTGCAATATAAGCTAAACTTGGGAGTCACTTTTCTTTAGCACGTGTTCATCACTTTGTTTCCTAACACCTGTTTGCATAATAATGGATGCCTAATGCTGTATTCTCTCTTCTTTGTTTTGTATTTTTTTAAAAATAATCTTCACCCCAGGAGCCTGCAACCGAGGAGGCACGTGCCCTTGTCGGATTCGAACCCTGGACCCTTCAGTCCGCAGGCCGCCGCTCTACCCACTGAGCCACGCGGGCCGGGCTGCACCAGCATTCTCTCTTCTTAAGTTAAACCTACTATTTACAGTTCCGTGAAAACTCCCGATATTTTCCTACTTCACTCTATCTTGAAAGCAAATCCCTTTGCACATACTGACCTGCGCTTTTTTCCATCAAATGCCAATGCAGGGAAGGCAGGGGACCGAGAAAAAATGCACGGGGACAAGTTCAAATAATCGTCCCTTTGTTTAAGGGCCATGTGTTTGTTCAAACAGCACGGACGCCCGCTAACACGTTTCCATTGAAATAAAAATGTCTCCTCTGGCAGCGAAATGGTAACAAAATTAAACCCACTAATCACATTGAACAGAAAAGTGGGGGAGGAGGGGAAAGGGGAGGGGTAAGGCCCGCTCGGATAGCAGACAAGAAAGCGAAAAATGTTCAACGCGCTCGGAAGGCTTCCTACGAGCGCCCTTTCACTTTCTCCAAAGCAAAAGCTGTTTTTCTAAAAGAGGAAAACCATTCGCGGGGAAGGGCACGGGAATCCCAGCTGCAGGGTGCGGGGTGCGGGCCGCCGGGAGGAGGGCGGAAAACCGCCCGCAGCGAGACCCTTCACGGAAGTGACCGCCCACCGGAAAGTCCCGGCCAGAGCGCCGCTCCCTTTTCTCTCCCCTCCCGGCCTCGCACGCCCGGCGAAGTGCCCGGGCTGCGCACGCGGCTGGCGTCGCGACGTCCACGCAAATCGGCGTCGGCACGCCTGACGTCAGGAGGCGGGGCCGACGCTGTTGACCTGCTGTTACCAGGCGTGCGCTCAGCCAATCAGCTCTCGGCGCCGGCGCCGGCCGGCCTTTGAACTCGGCACGGCAACTTCCTGCTGTTTGGCGAGTACACAGTGCAATGCAGTATGTCTGTCAGCGCTGCGGCACAAAGGAACAGCCATTTTGTGACTGAGCTGGACCTGCACCAAGATGCCAGGGGCTCTCGGGGCTGCTGTCCGCGCTAAGTACCGAGATGCCTTTTATTTCGGCACCAGAGAACCAAAAGGAGGAGAGGGGAGGAGAAAGAGGGGTTCGGGTATTTCAGCTTCCAATTCGCTTTATTTGCCATCTCCTCCAAACTCCCGATCCCTAAGAATTATCAGTGTCATAAAATGGCTGCCACCGAAAAAACTGACTTTTACAGTCCACAAGCAATTGCAGTTAGCATTTCTCAACAGCCCCGGGGTTTCAGACTCGCTGCTTAGAAGCTGATTGCAAAGCAGGTGATTTTCACCACACCCCGGCTTATCAGAATAAATCTGGTTCAAAGGCAGACGATTTGGAGATAAACTTAATAAACGGTCTCAGTTCTTAAAGATAAACTGCGAGGGCGGAGGAGCCCTGGAACACAGAACTCCCTGTGCACACACACTTCCATTCTGGTTCCCCTCGCTCCCGCTTCCATCCTGAGATATTACCGAGTTACCCCAAAATGTCTCTGATTTACACACGTGTGGGGTGTGCATTTCTGTGCAGGCCCACCACGGCAACTTTGTTTTAAATATGTAGAAACTTTACAGGCAGCCAATACTGTTAAGATCTTACTTGTGCAAGGGGACTTCTGACTCTTCTAAAGTCACGCTATACAAAGTATATATAACGTTATGCTTAAATATTAACTTGGAAAGAATAAGTTACATAATGACTGGCAAGTACTGCATTATTTCCAAAAGGAGGGCACGTGCACTGTCCCTTCAGGTTCTCAAGTCATTCTCCAAGTAGACTTGACCTGCAAACTTCCACCTGCCTGGCCTGCAAACGTGGTTTTTGCAGCAGACTCTGGGACACGGAAACAGGTCCTTCGTGGGGGAAATTCTGGTGGATTCAGGAACCAAGGAAGAGTTAGGGACGGCCTCCTCTACCTTAACCCACCGAAAATAAAAAATAAACTCCTCCAAGAGAACACCAGGGAGTCCTGGAGCTTTACAATTTGAAAAGGAAGTGATGTCATAATTATGTGCATGTGTCAAGGTATTCAATGTAGGGTATCTGTCACTCAAGTAAATGTCAGTCTCCGCGGTCTCATCAAGGAGTCTTGCAAACGTTTTTGGACACGCATCAGGTACACGAGTCAAAATGCACTTGACAAAGTGCATTTAAAAACACAGCCCATGCTTCTGAAGCCCCCACTGACAGTAGGCAAATGCAGGACAGCTTCAAAGTAGATTTCCAGGTGAAGTAAATCATTAAAAGAATAACAACACTGCTTGACTGTTTTAAATTAGAAAGCAGAGTTTGATCAAGGTTAACCACAAACCTTGCATAAGAAAGCCAAACCCCAGGTGAGACTATGCAAAATCACACCCAAGGGAGTATCCATTGTAGGTACTGAATCTTTAGTAATTTGTCAAGTATTTGTCAAGATTCCTGTTTCTTCAAGTCACTATTACTTTTCAGAAAAAAAAAAAAAATCAGTGTGGGGTTAATAGAGCAATTTTCTGTCCTAAATCTAAGGTAGGTGATTACAAGGGCATTTCAGTTCAAAAGACACAGTCCAAACTAGGTGACAACTCAATTTGCAAAAGAATGTGGAAAGGTATTTGTGAAAGCAAAGGTCAAAATACCTGAGGTCTAACGAAACAAATAAAATTCATCATTTGTAATAAACCACATTAAAAACTTTCATATGCACCATCCTGATAGTAAAAAAGCATATAAGATTTCAAAAGTAAAACCAAATTAGAAAATCATACAATCAATCACATCCTTAACTCCAAGATTTCAAATTCGTAACGTGACAATTTATAAGCACACACATCCAGAAATGCATGCATGTGCTTTTAAAATTAATATACAGATCATACAAAACAACTCAGTAGCTTTATTCCTTAGTCACTAACAAGGCACTCCAGCAAATGTGAAACAAATCATGATGTGAACAGTACATGTGTAAGCTTCCGAGGATAAAGCATTCCAGGAGACACTGTTGAAATAAATCAATAAATGTAAAGCAGCTATAACTAAAGTGCCAGGATCATATACTACTCAATCTACCACCAGAAAGAGCATTGTCTGAATATAAGCATGCAAATGTGAGCCTTAAATATTTCACAAAAGTAAAATATACAATTTTAATCTCAGTAACAATCACAAAGCAGAAAAGAGGGATATTAAAAGAGTACTCCTGGATTTCTGGGATCAGATTTAATTTCATAAATGCAGGAACTGTAAGCATCGAACTCAAGGTTTTGATAAATCCTATCAAAATGTCTTAAAATGTCCAAGGTATCAAAAGAAATAGAGAATGAAGTAAAAATGTAAACCGAGAGGCATCAGTCAAAGGGTCCTTTTTGCAATTTCACTTTAAAATGTACATTTTTTCATTCATATAACTTTCTCAAATGTCTATTTACTATAATTTACTACCACAAGGCTCCTCTATGGCCTTCGGTTACAAGTTGGGGTATCCTAGTTTCTTCAAAGAAAAAAATTTGCCTTGTATGTAAAATGGTGCAATGCAGCAATGGCTAAACCGACAAGGTCATTTTTCTACAGCCCGAAAACCTAAAACCTGAAATTTATTGTCAGAAACACTGCAGTTTACTGAAAAGTCCCCCTCGAATAAAGGTACCTTACCTTTCGACTGCTGTAAGAGGCCTTAAGTCAACTCAACTTTCATAAATTGCTACCAAAAAAATTAGGGTGTGGCATATTAGCAATCTCAAGGTCACGCTTTAAAAAACGAACCCAAATTAGTAAAATACTTAAAATCACACAGACAGCTACCCTGGCCTGTCAAGGTAAACAATGTAAGCTGAGGTTTCCCCCCCGAAAAAAAAAGAAAAAAGAAAGAAAGTTGATAGCTCCATACCTCGATGCATTGCTGTGTGGCGAACTGTCCTCCTCTTGGCTTTTGTCCTTATTTCTCATCATCTTTTAATTCTTAAATATTAAGGGGGAGGGGAAATCTGTGTTTGCTTTGAAGTCCTGTGCCCAGGTATTTACTGTCAAAAGTTGAAAGAGAGGTAAGGTCCCGGCTTCTATCGATGGTTTTATTACCAGGAACAAAGTCCTGACCATGTCACGATATTGTTATAATACAACAGCGGTGAAGCACCGAAAAACAAAATTATTTCTAGTTTTACCTTTAAAAAAAAAAAAAAGGCAGGACACACGGAACAGGGGGAATCAGCCCTTATCAATACGGAAAGTTTCTCAAAGTAACACACTGGATACAAATAACAAGCTCTTTATCTTATTGCGTCATCCAGGAATTTCTCCTCTTTACCGAAAATAAAGCCAACTTTCAGCTATAAATCCTTTAAATGATCACTAATGATCACGAACTTACCTGATCCATGTAGTAGGTCCAAAGCCAGAGAGTCCTAGCTAGTGGTAGAAATAGATCGGGTCCCAAACCATTAAAAATAGAAAAACGAAATCCTCCGTGAAAAAAAAAAACCGAAAAATAAATAAAACAATCCTCCGATCTGTTCACGGGTCCAAAAAAAATAAAGCAACAATTAATACCGAGACGGGTACGGGAGGGAAAAAACCTCATTAGCAGAGCGCACAAAAATGGAGGTGCGCCATGGCTTCTAAGCTGGAAAAAACAACGACCTGGCCTCCCAGTACGGCTGCTTCTTTCCAACAAGGCACGAAAAGAAAGCCCCAAAAAGCTGCTTTTCCCCCTCAAAGGGGTTCCAATCGACCCCAGTCCGTCTCTAGGAGAGGCAGGGGGCTGCGGGGGCCCCCTGGGGCGGCCCGAAAGTTGGGGAAAGTTGCGTAAAGTGAGGCGAAGGCAGGGAGCTGAGCGCGCTCTCTCTAAGGCACAGCCGCCATCTAGAGCCTCCTTCCCAGCTCTGAGAGCTCTGCCTTTGATTGACACTCTCTACATTTACCCCACAACTCAGGTGATGTACCATAGACCCACCCCTTCATCTCCACCAAAAAAAAAAAGAAAGAAAGAAAGAAAGAAAGAAAAAAAAAGATCTTCCATCCCAGGGAGCCAGAGGACCCCACACCCCCACACCTCCCTGCCCCTCCAGACCACCCCATCAGGGGAAGGGGGGAGGGTTTCTTAACCCCCTCTGGCTCAAGCACCCTTTTTAAGCCAGACAGAAATGTAATTTGTTCCTTTTGTCTAAAGATCTGCTAAATATTTCAGTCCTTGGGCTAAAATAACTTCCTTTCTGGGCAGGAAGTGGTGTTTTATAAAGCCATTTTGAAAAAGGGATAATTCTGAGAAAATGTTAAGCTCATTTTAATATTAGTCTTTTTTTAAAATTAACCCCACCCAGGGTAAAATGGTTTCTAAATAAAAGCAAAATCTCAATTTCATAGATTAAATTCAAGTTGGACTTCTTTAGGAAGCCTAAAATTATCTAAAGACCAAATTAGGGGGCATTTTCCATCCCAACTGGAAGAAAGGGGTACAACTCAAGAGCGCCTCCCTAGTGTTCAGTTGCATTAGCGCAAAAATTAACGCAACTCGTTTTTATTTGAGAATTTCAATTTTTCTTTGTACTTTCACAAAATTCTTTAACCCATTCTATAACCCTGCAAACTTTACACCCCCTCCCCAAATCTCAAGATCACACTATATTTACTTCCCACATTGATTCAGGCAAAACAAAGTTATTAAACTCGAGAATATGGAACCACCATTGTCCTTTCAAATAACAAATCCAAGAAACTGGACCTCCAAAACCAACACAGCACATATATCCCCAACTCTTCCCTTGTATTTCAAATCAATTTCTAAGTATGTTCAGATTCTTGACAATAGTTAATAGGTCACATCTGACAACAAGTTATCAAAGTAATGTCACAGGTCAAATTCTCCTAAATATCAAAACCATAACATCTATGGAAAACAAAATTAATACTAATGCCAGAAACAAATTGTTCAACACTTTTTCTCTCAAAAAGCACCCAAGAAAATATTCACACATCAAAAAAAGAAATCAAATAAACTTTCCCTACTCGACATTATAATCTTCCAGAACCATGTCTTTTCCTCAATGTTGATATCCACTTTCGCTTTATACCCAACAAAAGCAACAAGTTGCATCTAGGTCAATGTAAAAGCCATAATCAAAACCCAGTTTCAATTCCACACTTTCTACAAAAGGTGATTTTGTACCAAAATCCAAATCCAAAATTCCACTTTTGATATATACAAACCAACCACTTCGAACCAGTCAATGAGAACACATACTGCACATGTACTGAAAATGAATATGTGTGCTATATAGTATTTGACATTAATCACAAATCACAGTATGATTAACTGTTTTCTCTCACACACACACAAAAACACATCAAGCCGAACATTCCATGTATAATGGGAAAATATCAACAATTGATTTGGTTTACCCAAATAAAGCCTATCACACATTTATAAACTTAGTGTCAGTTGATTATCAATAAAATGCCAGTATTCACCTGGAAATCAAATATGTCATCTGTGACATGGTGTGATTCATTTATTCTGAATTCCTAAATGTAGAGAATAAGAAAAATACAGAATATTCCTATTTTATATTTACATAACATATATTATAGACAATATTGCCACCAAAATTTTAAGGCCTTTTATGAATATCTTAAAGGACATTCCCTAATAAATCCAACATTTATTCCCCTAACATTAACTAGACAATAAGAGGTATCTGTTTTGTTCAGATGAATATTCTATCTCAAGATGTTTTATTTTCAATATTAAGAAGTGCAGATAAAAAAGACCTTTTTATCAACACAAAACTCAGAAAAATACTGTTATCACTCATCCTGAATTTTGAGACAAAATGCATTTTGTTTTAAACGTTCATTAAAATCATGTGGCAAGTTAAAGATTCTATTATTACCTATTGACTGGTTATTTTGCAAGATATTCAAGAAAGCATAAAACGGCATTTAACCAAACGCCTATTTCTTAAAGCACAAATAAATTTCCACAACTGGTGGAAATAAATCTTAATCAACGACGTAAAATATTTTCCAGCACACCACTGCCATTTTACCAGCTTTATTCAGTACACTTCACTGCTGGACAACTGTAAAGGCCAAATTGTTATTTACGGCGCACATTTAATGTAATGACTCTTCAGCTTAAAAAAAAAAAGCCCAAACTGAGAAATTTTAAAGTGTTAGAAATTTTATTAAAGTTAACATTTCACAAGGTCATACAAATCAAATTGAAAAAAATTCCAGACATACAAACTATCATCTCTGTTAACGTGCCATCTTTCATCTCCAAATGTCAAAAATGGGCTTGTTTAATGATACAAAAAGTCTTTAGAAAGTCAAATCCACTGTCCATCTGTGTTGGGTAAGAAGCCTATTGTCTTCATTCATTTCATGAAATCCATGTTAAAAGAACCCTGTCTTGGTTGTGTATTATCACAGCACTCTTGTATTAATCCATTTTCCTCTATTCCCCATAGTGGACTGCCATCTTGATTTCTCAGCGGTAGGGTCCATTTGAGACTCTTCAAGCTGTGGGTGCTTCATGAAAACATTAAAAGAAAAAACGCTGTTGGAATACCGATCATCTTATTCCCTTCAAACAGAGAACATCCACCCACCTTGAAGACACTCTTACCATACACAAAGCTTTAATTTTGTAACAGCTTTAAACTATGAAACTGTCTTATTTAAAGTTGTATGTGCTACACACAACTTGTCAATGAGAGAATCAAAGACTGTATATACAAGTAACAAAGTTCTTTTACTATCACAGATACACATGTAGCCATAAAAAAAAGCAGCAGTAGCCTGGCCAGCTTAGCTCAGTGGTTAAGCATGAACCAGATCATGGTTCGATTCCAAGTCAGGGCACATGCCCAGGTTGTGGCCTCAACCCCATTGGGGGGGGGGGGGGGCGTGCAGAAGGCAGCCAATGATTCTCTCTCATCATTGATGTTTCTATTTCTCTCTCCCCCTCTCCCTTCCTCTCTGAAATCAATAAAATATATTTTTTTTCAAAAAGTAGCAGTAAAGAGATAAATTTTTACTAGTTAAATGTGATACTGTTTTAGTGTTTGTAGAAGACAAAAATTCAAATTCAAAAATCCTGGAAAGCTAAATTACAGCAACACTATGGATTTGAAATCTCAATGAAGAACTTTCCAATATTCTTCTTCTTCAAAAAAAAAAATATCACACACACACACACACACACACTAATTAGCTAAAAGAATCCTAAGGAATAAAAGAAACCAAAGCAGTGGATCAATCATAGCATAGTTTTCCAGTTAACAGATGTTAATTTTGCTTAGAATATCGCAAATAGACAACAAAAATGCCACTATCTTTAGCTACATATCTGAGAATGCTGGAAATATGTAGCCACTAGGGGGAAAAAAGATAAAAAAGGCAAAGTGTCAACTTGGCTTATTTGATATTTGCCATTAAATGCTATAAGATTGCAAATTATATACAAATAAAATACTCCCACTGCCAAAATATCAAATGTTTCTCAGAGAATGACAAATACATTACTTAACTACTTTGAATTAAAGGGATAAGTGGGAAGCCAAGTGATTTTAACAATAAATAAATAATCCTGATGAATCAGGATCCACATAATTGCAAATATAAGTTTTAGCCCTGGTCTTCTCTGTAAATTATGCAGCTCTCAAACTAAATTTATAAAGTCTGGGTGACTGACTAAGAGGTTATTAAGTATAATAGCATTTTTGCTCATTAGGTAGTTAATACCTTGTATCCTAAACTATAATTAAAATTTGTTGTCTACTATCTATAATAATCTATAATAATAAAAGTGTAATATGCTAATTAGACCAGATGTCCTTCCGGGTGGATGAACCTGAGCCCCTTGCACAAATTTCGTGCATCGGGCCTTTAGTATACAATAAAAAAATCTACTTAATAAACTATTTGGTTAACAAAGAAACACTACCATCCATATTTTTTAAAAAACTAAAAATGAGTGTCACAAAATCAGTAATAAACAAAAGTATTTCTCCTTAATTATTTTGCCGATTTCTCTCCAGTCTGAAACTCATTCATTCCCCACATCAGTAAAATATCTTCCATTTGAATTGTTCATTCCTTTAAGAGTTAAGGGATATACACTTCTATATAGAACTATAGAAATAAAAATACCTTCATTCTTCTTGCAGAGTTTATTATAAACCAATTTTACCCCAATCTCTATTGTTTTGATGCAAAATCAAGCTCTAAATGAAGTTGGGGAAGTAAATACTACTATGATGAACAATGAAACTAAAGCACTGATATCAAGTTACAATCATTTCAATGTCTATAGGTGCAATTTATTCAATTTAGTACATGAAATGATAAATCAATGCTCTATTTTCTTCTGCCACAGAGTAAGAGGTAAATTTATCCAGGACTTTATATAAAAGCCCATTATTCTTTAAATTAAAAAAAAAAAAACCTAATGAGATTAAAAGCATTCCAAAATTACTCAAAATCACTAGCTTGTGTAATAAAAATAAACTAGAAAAAACAATATATTGGTCATTCTGTCACATATGATTTCATATATTTAATATAGTAAAAAAAAGGGGGGGGGCTGGGAATTGAAAAAAAAAAAAAGTGCTAAAAGAGAAAGCAGATACTTCCATAACATTAAAAAACCAGATCAATCTGTACTCCTTAAAGTCAATCAAAAGCCAAAAGCAAGAATCTTATTAATATAATAAGTAAAAGTGCTCAGTCAGGCATCAAAGCATCTAAAAGTAGGGGATTTAGGAGTAAGCCATTCATTTTCATGGAATTCCAAATTCTTACAAAACCTAAAATTGCTAGTAAGTGAAGTTACATTAAAAATTAAAAAGAAAGCAGGCATGAGTTCTTTGAGCTTAGAAATATTCTTGGTAACAAAATCCAGTTCATTTGTGAAAGAGTAACAGCAGTACCTACCTCCTGTAGAAGTAGTAAGGCTTAAATGAGATAGTATCTGTATAGCATTTATATTACCTGGCATATATAAAGACCTCAATAAATGTTAGCTTTTCCTCTGATATACCACGATAATCACAGTACTTGGGGACCTATAAACTAACCTTACTAAATTCATATAACTTATAATCCAACAGTAATGAAATCTCTGAAGAATCCATAGAATCATGGAGTCAATTACTTAAAACACTTTCTGCTTTAAAAAGACTAGTTAGTGTTGCACTAAAATAACATCAGTACAAAAAAACTGAGTAGAGTTTTGATATCAAAGCCCTACTATTCTATGTCTCTCCAATAACGTGCAAATGGCTATAGACATACTGGAGAGATGATGGTTTGATCTAGAATAACATCATCAAAGAGACCCAGATCTTTTGTTTATTTCACATAAAAGGTAAGCTTCAAGCTCATACTATGGAAAGTTAGACGTTTCCACTATGATGTTCACTAGTTTATGTCTTCTTTTTATGGAAAATTGCTTGTTCTAAATTAAATCCCACAAGCAAAGGTAAAGGCTACTATGTTAAGAGAGTAGGAAGTAATTGCTACCTCTTAAAATTCGCCAATCCTGTACATCAAAAAAAAAAAACAACCCATAAAATTAAGATCTTCTGTTTCAATTCTGATCCAGTAAATTTGTTCCAAAAACAGAGACATTGTAAAATAAAGCATTGTTAACTCAACTGCAAGTAAATGGTTCATTACAGAATTGAGTTTATGAGATGTTCCCCCAAAAGAAGTAATCTCCTTATCTCTACTTCCCAACAAACCCCAATTTTTAATCGCAACAGAAATGTGGGGTACAGGGAGAAATACAAAGACAAAGAATTAATGGTTCTTAATTTTAAAAACAGGGGACTCTAATAATGCCACAATTTACTAAATCATCTTAAAACTGGAACACTTATTGCAAAACCAAAGGAATAGATATAAAATTATAATCCAGAACAAAACTGGTTTTCCCATTATGTAATTAATTAAGGTTTTGTTCTTGGTGCTTATGGCTTGATTTCAATATTCTTTGTATTGGTCTTTAATTTGAAAACATTTAATAGAAAACTCACATATTTTGTCTCACTACCCAGTAAGAGCTCAAATCCTTTATAGGATTACAGTATATTAACAAGTCCAGGTCTTGCCCTAGCAGGTTTGGCTCAGTGGATAGAGCATCAGCCTGGGGATTGACACTCTATCAAGAAGGGTCCTGGGTTCGGTTCTAGTCAAGGACCCATGTCTGGGTTTCGGGCTCCATCCCCAGTAGGGGGCGTGCAGGAGGCAGCCGATCAATGATCCTCTCATCATTGATGTTTCTCTCTCTCTCCCTCTCCCTTCCTCTCTGAAATCAATAAAATTAAAGAAATTTAAAAATAAAAAGTCTGGGTCTTAATAAACTAACTACAAAATGATCTGAGAAAGATCAGCCAACTGTTAATTATGATAACTTAATCATCTTAAAGGTCTTGTAATCAAATGAAATCTTCCCCATTGCCCCTATAAGTTTAATAGTCGACTACACCTGCTTAAGAGATTGAGAGTTGTAGTTTCTTGTCAATTTTAACTGTTACTGAGTCCAAGATTTTAGCTTTCAGGCACACTGAAAAAATTAATAAAGTATTAAAACTAATGTTTCAGTAATGAATTTCAGTTTGGTTTTTTATTAGACCCAAAACACTACTTGATAAATATTTAATAGACACTATATATAATAATAAATCAACAAGTATTTATTGAGCATCCACTATATGCCAGGCAATATCTCTTCAAAATATTTGATAAGGTCAATAATTGTACTATATTAGGAAAAGTTTTCATCTCTGCCCTCACCACTCCCATCAAAAAAAAAAAAACAACTTATTATTTTGCAGGCCTTAATGGCCACTTATACAATGGAAGTTGAAATAGTAATTAGAATGAAAAATTATCTAGAATCTAATTTCCAAATGTGATTCAAAAATAAGTGTCTTTAACAAACAGCTAGTATGTAATTATCATATGTAAAATTTTGCCAGTAATAAATAAATTCCTTTGAGAATTCATCCAAATTCCTTTACACAGTCCTACCACTAACTCTTTCCCACTATTTCTCAGGTTGGGAATTTGAAAAACTACTCCATAGTAATTGTTACCAAGTCTTCTAGTATCAGAGCATAACCCCACTGTCAGAAGAAATTATTATTAGGCTTTCATAAAAGGGAAGTTCAGAATTACTTAATTAATTAGCATGACTATACTAACATCCATTAAAAAGTATGTTCTATTACCAAAAGGGAAACCAAGGGCTTCTGATTTCTACATACGTAGGGTCAAGTTGACAATCGAGATGGATCTAGGACAAGACAGTAACTATTTTAGGGTTTGTGACCATTAACTACAACTATTCTCAACTCTGCAGTTGTAGTAGGAAAGCAGACACAGATAATGTATAAATGAAAGAGCAGAGCTATGTTCCAATAAAACTTTATTTTTAAAAAATTGGGGGAGTTTACCAACACCCAGATCTAAGGTGGTTGGAAGCATGTTCAACTATGGGTTTCTATGCATTGTACCTCTTGCCTCAGTTTAACTGAAGAAAGTAGGAAATAGTAAGTTAGAATAAATTAATAAGCAAAATTTAAATAATAAACTTCACACACATCTAACCATGCTGGTTTTATTTTTTTTGTGTTGCTTTGAGCTTCACTAAATCCCTAAGTATTTTTACAATTCTGACACAGGTACTCAAAATTTCCAAAGTCATATTTAAAATTAAAACAGGAAAAAGATGTAAATTGAGTAAACTTACTAAATGCTTCCACCAACATCTATTACGTTGTACAGGCCCTTTAGAGATTCAGTCTCAGGATTCACATTTCTGCAGAAAACAAAAAGAATATAATTTTATGCGTAGAAAAAAATAAAAATAGTATTAATATGCCATGATTTATTCAGAAACATCTTGTAAGGATCACTCGCCAGAAGCCCAAGACACGTGTATGTATATAAACAAGTAGAAGATAAAAAATTTTACTGCAGAGGATCTTAAATTTGGCTGTACAGGAGACACACCTGTAAAATGAGTTACTATAAAAACAAGTGAATGTCTAAATCTCAGTCCCCAGGAACTCCAACAGAGAAGGCAAAAATTTGGGCTCCCCCAGGTAGACTGAATGGATAGCAAGAGTTGAGACCCAGCTGTTTAGCAGAGCCAACATCACTACTTAATAGTACAAAATTATTTTATCTTCTGGTCTCTCATTTGTCTACATTTAAAAGTTCTAAAGGAAAACTTGCATTACCAACCTAGAAGGTCTTGTTTTCTCACTGTATATATTGTCACTAGAGGCCCGGTGCATAGGATTCATGCACTGGTGGGCGGTGTGGCTTGTGGGGATTGGCCCACTGTGGGAACACTGCTCATCCCTGTCAGCTGAGCAGCACTCCCATTGTGGGAGCGCACCGACCACCAGGGGGCAGCTCCTGCGTTGAGCGTCTGCCCCCTGGTGGTCAGTGCGTGTCATAATGAGCGGTCGACTGGTCATTCCACTATTTGGTCGCTGGGCTTTTATTATACAGGATATTATTTTAAATTATCATGTACACTATTCTAAGGTAAAGTGTTGGAAAGGAATCCTTAGGCACAATTTCAAACTATTTTTACTAATTGTACTGATCTACTCAACTCAAATCCTTTCTAAAATATATATTTGATAACAAAAATATCATATCCATGCTTTTCACTAGTTAAGATTATCATAAAGTAAACATGGAAGAGTTGTTTCCTATATCTCAAATATCTTCTGAATATAGGTTAAATACTATTTTAAGTCACTCCTGCTCCAAAGCATGATTATAATAATCCCAATATGTTGACCTACCCAAAAAAGCTGTTTAGAAGTTCAGCATCAAAGTATAGCAATTTCAAAATGTTTAGAAAGCCAAAGCACTGTTTAGGATTTAGGTTAAGCTTAGCTACCCAAATGTTTTTCCAGGCTATGATTTCAAATTTTCAAATTATAAAGCAAACTCCTGATTTTCTTACCAAGTCTAAATTCCTTTAGTCATTTGACTAATCAATCAATACAGCAAAAATTGGCTTCAAAATTACCTCTAAAGGTTAGGTGCCAAAAAATATCCTCCCACCGGGTAACAAAGCAATTTATAAGAAACGGAATTATTTATTTTTAAGCTTCCAATTTAGTCAGACTTTATAAGGAAGAGAGGATTTTCTGAATAAAGACAAATTTTAAATCAACCAAGTAAAATAAACTTATATAACTCCTAAGAGAAGGGTGTAACTGGTTTAAGGAATACTGGTGAAAGAAATGTCGCATTGGTCTGATAATGTGCTTGTACAAAAAGCTACCTACCAATGTAAGAATGTACCTCTGGGTTTAGCCTCCACCAAATACAGAAAAGGACTGGGCGCTCACTTTGTGCTAACACAAATATAATCTATCACACTGGCTCCTTCCCAAAATTTACGAAGTAGTGCTTTGCGCCGTCCTTTGAAAGGGAAGCAGCCAAGGTCTGCTTAAGCAGACTATACAAGTTGGTAATTTTGCTCATGTTCCTACCTATCTTTAATATTTTGCAGTACTATAGATTCTCATTGAATATGAAATTATAGGTGCCATGTAAATAACCATTTTGCTAGCTGGGCCTTTTATAATAAAAGGCAAAGACAGTTTTAGTCAAGTCTTACATTATCATCATTAGTCCATTTGTGCTTTTCTTATCATATTTGTCACCTTTTAAAACCCTTCAAACAATTTTTAACATTTAAACTGAGAATAAGATCAGAGAACACTATGAAATATAAAATGTCTTCCACAAAAATAGGGTAGTGATAGTCATTAGAAAATTGCCACAAGACAACTCAGAAACCATTAAAGTTAAGCAAAATATCTAATATGATAGTCTAAATTAAAATTATTATGATTACTATCTAGTACACATATATAATTCATTGTTTGGTAAATATTTCATTTCATATAAATGGCTTAGCTTCAAAAGCACAGGATTGTTTTTCAAAAAACAAAACTATCTAGCTTTACACTATGTTTAAATCAACTATCAAATTGTTGTAAGAAAACATGCTACTTAAATGCTATGTAAAAATAATCATTTAAATTGTAATGGTTAATTTACACTCAGAAGTAACAACCAAAATGAAAATCAAAAGTTTGAATTAAGCCACTCAATCTGTAAAGGAAAGGTAGCTGGTAAAACAATGATATCTAAATATAGAAATTTCTTAAGTTAATTATGCCAGGTATTATCATTGATAATCCCAATGGTCAGCTGCAAATGTTTCATTAGATACAATAAACTTTTTTAATGTAAAGAGGGAAGGAAGGAGCAAAGAGAGAGGGAGAGAGAAAGAGAGAGAGAGAGAGAGAAATATCGATTTGTCGTCCCACTTATTTATGCATTTGTTGATTGCTTTTTGTATGTGTCCTGTGGGGAGATCGAACCTGAAACGGGCTATTGGAACGGTGCTCTAATCAACTGAGCTGCCCGACCGGGGCCTCAAGTTTAAATATATTTAATCGAATAATTATTTTCAAAACTCCAAATAATGCTTTTTACTACAGCATTCTAAATCTTAATTGTTTAAAAACAAATTAAGATCGATTTTCCAATGTCTTCATATATATACTGTTTATTAATATCTGGAAATTCCTAAAATTAAGAATGCCGGTCACAGGATTTCACGGGTCTCGTCTTATTCAAACAGTGTCACCACAGAACTACATGATTTGCGATGCAAAAATTATAAGAACTATTCTCCACTTTTTGTAAGAGAAATAGACACTCCTATTATTTTTATAGCAGAATTTAAGAGCTAAATGGTATCTTAAGAGATTGGAAACTCCAAATAGTTTGTACTAAAACTAGGAGACTAAGGTGTACACTGAATAAAATGTCAACATTACAGGGCTAATTTACATTAGAAGCTGGGTCTCTTGGTTGCTGAATCTCAGTTGTATTTTCCACTGTATCACACACCTCTACCTTTCATTAATGCAGAAGATAGAGATGTCCTCAAATTATCTTTTGCCGCTTATGCTATGTCTCTCAACAAAGAATTAAAACAGACAGGAGAAAGAGTAAATTCATTGGTTGTCCCAGTCCCGGTATCTTAATAATTAAGAAACTGAGAAACAGTAAATTAACCTTGAAAAAATGTTTATATTCAAAATTATTATCTAGCCTGTGTTATGCCATGGTTTAAAAAAATGTATAATTAACTATGAGCATGGCTTCTTTCATTTCTGTGGAACTTCAGATAATTTTTTAAACAGCTATTACCATGATAACAAACGCAAATCCAACCTAATCACCAACTTGATCGGGTGATTTTGGGTTCAAGAATTGGTTAAAAATGCTCAATTAAAAGTAAATATTTAACATTTACTACTTTGATCCGCTAAGCAGAAAATAGCATTTAACTAAGTAATTTACTTTCCTAATGAAATATAGTAATTTAAAATAATAGTACCTACATTTATATTTGTCTTCATGTGTCCATTATTCTTGTCCATCAAACTTATTATTGCCCATTATACAAGCCTGGTTCAAACCCCAAATAACGAAACAATGAATATAAGCACTATCATGAAGTTTAGCTGAAGTACATGAAAACCTTAAAATGTGATCGATTATAATCCTGTATCTTGTTGGTGATAAAGGAAGCGTTGTATTCCATTAGACGAGTAGAAATTACTACATCGTTTAGATTTTTCTATAAATACTAAAAAAATAAAAATCTTCATTTAACATTTCTAACCTTAAACCGTTCATTTATTTTATGGGTTAAATTACACCTTTGGTAGGCCACTATAAATTTATTGCCATGTTATACTTAACCTACGTCACACTTCACATACGTTTGTGTCTTAAGAGGCCCAATTCTCAAATTTTGTAAGTGCCAACCACATCTGAATTACAATAATTTGCATAGAGGAAACTAACATCGGCATTTGTGTTAAAGAAGCTTGGGGTAGTCCTAGCTGGTTTGGCTCAGTGGATGGAGTGTAGGCCTGTGGACTGAAGGGTCCCGGGTTCGATTCCAGTCAAGGGCACACGCCTGGGTTGCAGGCTCAATCCCCAGTAGGGGGCGGTGCAGGAGGCAGATCATCAATGATTCTCTTTCATCATGGATGTTTCTATCTCTTTCTCTCTCTCCCTTCCTCTCTGAAATTAATAAAAATAAATAAAAGCTGTTGAGCAAAATATGTTACTAAAAAAAAGAAGACGCTTGGGGTAAAAGATGTTTTGATTATTTTGCGTGGTGTGTTTTGTCTTTCAAACACTAGTTAAAGGTGTAACATTCCGTTTTCTTTCACATATGATAAACACAAATTTGATCAAATTGCAAAGGACTGGAGAGGAAAAATTAAACTAAAGCAAAGGCAATAAAAATATTATCTTTATTACCTATTTGAATCAATAGAATAAGCAAACACCAAAAGATTTTCCACATAAATTTCAAGGACAAAGGTAAATTTGCCCTTATATTAACTAATGGTTATTTGGGTATTCTTAACATTCCCCAAGATATTACTATATTTTCTCTGTCAAATCCTTACTAATCTCAACTTGAGATTAATTTTCACATTCAGTATTAACTTATGAATAAAGAATATTTTTTGAAAATTATCAGTGGACACGTTTTTTCACTCACGTATCTAGTTTTAAGATGTAAAATTATTGTATGCTTATTGAAAATTTCTTCTTCCTTTTACGACTTAAAGATAATTATTAAGTTACGGAGGTCTCTTTAGATGCTTTATTCTAGTTTTCCGTAAAATAAGTCATTTTTGTATCTGTTTGAAAACTCAGGAAAATGGGTAAAGCGACTATGTAAAATCCATTAAGTAGCAACTAGAATATGGAATTCTCTATTTCGTTTTGGAAATATAGTTCTTTTAAGAATCCCAAGATCTGCAAATGCAAAATTCTAGGCCATTTCTAAAACGTGATCAGTATCATCAAAAGGAATGTACACTTAAGATCGTAAAGATAAAATTTTGATGACTCAACTCCTGATTTATCCTGGAGCACCATTTTATTGGAAAGTACTTAATGTCTTTCTGTTCTGATAGAAACTACATGTGTCAACTATTTCAATGTTAATACAAAAAAGCTTTGATATAAAGAAATGGCATTTGAGGGGCTTTTTCTCATCTTTTCAAGATAAACAGTCCGCCGTTTGTTTCATTGACAAAATTTACTGATATTTTCCTACTCAAATTGTGGTAGGCACTAAATTTCAGATGGTGGGTAAAAACATTTACTTACTTGCTATATAAAATACAGACTTCTGCAAAGATTTCCTTTATCCTCAGATATAAAACTCCATGGTCTCAGTCTTCAAAATGGTTTCTTTTGGGGGAAAAAGAAATATTCTAAGCAATTTATTGATGTAACAACCAACAGCAAGTAGGGAGAAGTATTTTAAAACTTTTTATTATATAAAAGAAACAAAAACTAAAATCTATGCTCACAAAAATTGATTTTTAAAATGTTCTTCCCTAAAACCTATTAGTAGAAATAATAACTAGCTCAAATTTTCCAATAAATTTATTTATTTACATGTTTAAAAGATTAAAACTGTTTGCACAGTGTATTAGAGACCTAAAAAGAAAAAGTCTATCTTTGGTTCATGGTTTTCCTCAAAATATAATTAGTCTTTTTTTGTTCCCAAAATTAAACAAAGGCGTAAAGGACCTTTCAGTGTTTCAAACTATATACCGTTGAGTTACAACAGCTATGCATATATACTTTCTATCCCATGAAAAGATTTAAAAGCTTGGTAAAATTATTTCCGATATTTACTCATATTCATAATCACTACTTGCTGGAAAAATAAATTCTCAAAGAACAAAAACAAAACCTAATAAGCTTATTTTTATGTCAAAGTAATAAAAATTTACCCGGTCTTACCTCAAGTAAAAGAGCTGTATCTGTTCAGAACCATCATCAACCAAATTTTATTTTAATCTTGTAAGTTACCTTAAAAAAAAAAAAAGGAAGATGATATCAATGTTTTGATTTTTAAACATTTCTTGGCCTAAGTTTCAGTATGATGAAACAATGAGAACAAAACACTCAATAATCTATGGATAAATGTAAGAGACAGCTCATCACACACTACCTGTACATTTTAGGTTGCAATTATTTCTTATCTTAACATCTATCAGTCTTTGTTTTCCTCACCTTTTGGTTGCATAGACTAATACTTGTGACTAAGGCATTGAAACAAAAAAATACAGATTTACATCTTTGGACAGATTTAAGACTATGACCTTGTTTTTATCTTTCTTCGTTTGATGACAGGCAATACCAAAAAAAAAAAAGGAAAAGTTTACCATTTTCAAAGACTCAAATATTAACATTTCCCTTCCCATCAAAGAATGCCTTTTAAAATTGAGTAATTGAAAATTTACTCTTCTAGGAGAAATTAGTGAAGTTTAAAATGGCCACTGGTTACTTTAAATTTTAAATTACAAGTTATTTGATCTCACCAAGTGGGATACTAGCTTTGTCTTTTAAGCAACTTTCAAACATGTAGTAACGAGGACATTTATTCAATTTCAAACCAGGGTCTTTAACACTTTCAGTCTCTCCCTTCCCCCATTACTCTTGTAAAAAGATCTGATGAGGTAGCAAATGCCAGCAATTATTTTGCATTTCACTCTTCAAAAAGGATTCTGAGATACCAGATTCAGAATATTCATTTAAGACCACTTTCAGCACCCAAAAATTTCAAAAACGTCAGTTTGAAAAAACAAAACAAAACTGGTACCTAAACAACAGAGCCTGTAAAATCAAGATATGCGCAACTGATGTAACATGTAGCACGAGATGCATGCTATTCGGAAATAAAACCATTTTGCCGACAAAAATACCTTCCGAAATGCGGTCGATTACAGCAGTTACCTGTGATCTTAGAAGGACTGGGTAAACTTGAGGAATTTACCAACAGCCTTTTTAGGCAAAATCTGCACTTTACAACACCCATACCGCAGAATGAAGACAATTATATTCCCAAAACACACAAAGGTTTTCTGCACTTGCGGCCTGTGCAAACCGAAAACTTAAATTCCCTCCCCAACGTTCTTCCCAGATGCATAGGCGGAGGACTGCAGAATTTCTGAAACCGACACCTATTAAAATACTGTTCCGGGGTAAGAACATCTAGATGTTCGTGCATGCAACAAATGCAACAAATATGGCTCCTCTGCTCCGTCCATTTCCAGAGAGCAAGCCTACTTTAATATTTACACTGCGAGAAAGTAACTCCAAAGGGAGATCTGGGGGGCCGAATAGCCCTTTGTAAAAGTTTTGTCGACCACGGCTTGGGACGATACGGATGATGATGATTTTTTTTAAAAAAAACGTAAAATGACGAACTGAAACTTTTAAAAGTCTAGGAGCAGGCTCAAGTGCGTTCCAACATGCAGGTGCGATCATTTTGCAGATAACGGCTCCTGGTGACCTTTTTTAAAAAAAGTACCGAAACGGGTGTATTTAATCACCATCCAAATATCCGAAAGCCGGAGCAACTCGGCAAATGCCAGTTATTACGAACCAGACGTCATCGCCCTGGCCCCAGCATTCAAATCTATTCCCATTAAACCGCCCTGACATGACAGTAAACTTGTCTTTTTTTTTTTTTTTTTGAAATGCCAGACGCACTCCTCCTCCTCCTCCAACTTGCATTTTTTAAAAAGACAACCTTCACGTCATCAAGGTTTTCCAGGGGCGGCAAGTCCCTTCTCCCCGGTGATCCCCGCAGCCGTTTTCAACATCGGCTTTGAAAGAGTTAAGAGCCAACACCCAAAAGGGGAAAAGAAAAAAAATAAGAGAAAAAAAAACAAGTTTTATTTTTTTTTTTCTTTCAACGTAGCCAGGCTTCCATTGTTCTTTTAAACTCGATCGCCCAAGATGACTTCCCACCTTACCGGAAAGAGGTAAAAAAAAAAGCTCCCCCGTAGGAGAACCCGAAAAAAGGGTCCTTTTACCCCAAACATCAAAAGAACTCACCCACCGGAACGGAAAGGGGTT